ATTGCTGCAGCTCTGTTCATTCACATACAGTCGTGACTCGATAATCCTGAACAATCCTAAACCTGCTACCTGACAGGTTCTCAGGAGAAACCAACAGAACCCATAAAAACAGCCTTAACATAGCGACAGCCTTGGATTGTGACTCCGACATGACATTTAATGTCACCAATCAGGATGACGGCGTATTATCTGACTGAACAATCCCACAGATTTACTGAGCTTTGATGTGAACCGACGGCCCGTGCACCAGCTCGCTGGTCAGTTCGGCTGAAATCCAGCGATGTGTGGTTTTCTAACAACACACCAGTTCCACTCATCGAGTGAGTTTGCCTAATGAATGACTAATGAAGTCGGTTTGCATCAGTTTGTCAGAAAACAAGTTGTCACCAGTGTTCAAGAAGTCACAGAGCACGTGGTGCGCCGTCATGGAGCCAAAACGGACAAAGCTAACAGTAGCGGTGAAAACAGCTCTGTGTCAGTACAAGCTAGAGCATCCGCAGTGTTCCCAGGACAGGTGGTCCAGTTCATAAAGACACCTGTTCTGTGACAGTCGGCTGATCAATGTCATGTACGCACATAGTTCATTATAACAACTATAGCAATGAATATTAACTAATGAGCCTTCCAGCATCAAGCCCTCCTCGTATCTGGACCTCCGTCTGGACAATCCGACAGCCTTGCTATCCGACATAGAAGAAGGTTTTACATTTAGTGTCGGGTTATGGAGTCACGACTGTACTAATGAGAACTGCTCTGTAGAATCTGACCTGTAAACAGTGAAACAGCCCTTTAAGGATGACTCTCTGTCTCCATAGCAACATCCTCCAAAGAAGGACTATGTCCGAGCCGTGTCTCTGCTCACCGGGTACTTGATCCAGTCCAACGGCACCGCCGGCTCCACCCTCTACTACCTGACCCAGGTGGACCCCCGAGGTCGGGCCAGATGGATCAGAACATCACTATTACTGCTATTCGCTAAAAATGTCATACATTGACCCAGACCCTGACCAGACGTGGTCTCTACTGTTCTGTCTGCAGGTTCTTTACCAAAGTGGGTGGTGAACAGAGTCTCTCAGTTCGTGGCTCCAAAGGTAACAGACTTTCGGTTCCCCTCAGACCTCTGAAGACAAACTGCCCCACTGCTTCTAACCATGTCTGTCCCTTCAGGCCATGAGGAAGATCTACAAGGCGTCCCTGAAGTACCCAGAGTGGAAGCGGAAACACAACCCGTCCCTGAAGCCGTGGATGTTTCCGGAGCAGAACACGCTGCCGTGCATCAGCGTGGCGGAGTTGACGCTGCAGCGCGGCGACTCGCTGGAGAACATCGACGAGAGCGGCGTGAGCGAGGAGAAGACCAACCACAGCGACGACGAAGAGACTTAGAGCGTCTGTTGGTTTGTTGGATCAGATGGACTGAAGCTGGAAACGTGTCTGAATGTCTGTAGCCGCTGTGGTTCTGTTGCTGGTTCTGGTTCTGTCTGGACCTGCTGTGTTTCTCTTCAGAAATGTGAAAACACTGGTTGCTGTTGGTCATGCTAACGTCTCTCCTCCTGTGAGGATCTTCCAGTTTGCTCAGGCTCTGTCCTTCCAGACGGCAGTGATGCTTCTGTTCCGTTGACTTATTTGTTGTTTGGGACTCAAAACTACGTTCTGTAAAATATTTTGGCAAAATTTCATGTGTGAGACTATTTTTTCAGATTTTTTTGACTTTTTATTTTTACCCTCAAAAAACAAACAAACGTGAACCATTTCAAGGTTCACAATCTCCAGAAACGAAACTCCCACAGACGTGACTCGTTGGTGACGACACTCGTTTTTAATTACTGATCTTACTGATCAACATTTTCAAACCAGGGTGGTATTTAGGGCCCAGGAAGTTCCTGAAGTGTATATATTTATGCATGCGTCCTGATTTTCTACCAAAAACACAGCCTTTGGTTGACAGTTTACCATCTGCTGAGGCTTCTCGGATTTGATATTTAGCAAAGACGGTAAACCAAGCTTCAACTGTTCTGGCAAAAATGGTGACGTAGGAGCACAAGAACTGTTGTTTAGAGGAGTCTATACATTATCATGGGCTGCAGGTGGCTCGGTGGTTAGCA